CCATCTCTCTCTCTCTCTCTCTCTCTCTCTCTCTCTCTCTCTCTCTCTCTCTCTCTGCTTTCTTGTTTATCACACTTCCCCTACTGATCTCATCCTTTCCCTCTTCATTGTTCTCCACCCTTCCGCCACCACCAATCTGCCTCCCTCCTTCTGTTTTCTTCTTCCTTCCTTCTCCCCCCCCCCACTTGCTTACTTCTTCATACACCCTCATCTCCCTACTTAGTCTTTCCCATCCTCATCAGCGTCCGCCAGGAAAGTTGTTATCGAGCATCTCAATCTTACTTCTGGGGTGTTGTATATCTCTCAGCTCGGGCTGCTCGTGACACTCAGCATTGAAGCCCGACTCCTAAAAACACCTTCATTTAAAAATAAACTCCCATCCTTCTCATCCTCCTCTCTCATGTCTCCACTTGTCTTCCACCCCCCCCCCTCCCCCAAACCCGCTTTCTCGAGACTCTTCCTTTACACTTCCGGCCACAATACCTTAGTTACCGTACATTCTTCAGAGGAGATAAGCAAACGTCTCCCTCCAGTTTTCTGTGTTGCTTGTTGCCTGGTCATATTGTTGAGGTTTTTTCTCTGATGTTTCTTTATCCTCCTCTATTCATCTTTCCCGAGGCCTGCCTCTTTTTACGTAGTCTAAAACAGCTTTATGCGCTGCTCACTGTTGAAAGCTCAGTATCCCGATCTCTAGCGTGGAGAGCATCTGGAGAGAATGCGTCGCTGTTTCAGGCTCTTCCTCTCTACTGCTGTTCATTTCATTGACCCTAATACTCACTTACTTACTCTCTCCCTATACTGGCAGGTACATAAGGCGAAGAGCAGTCGACGCCACGCTTGTCTGACCTGGCCACGTCCTCCAAATTCGGCAAATACAGGCCTTGGGAGATTGCCTCTTTCCTTTTTGTGCCTCCTTAGCTTCCAGTTGGTCTTCCTCGTTTTCTTTTTCAAGGTTTATTTCCAATACCATGTCTGATAGGGTAATTTTTTCTTCGAGTCCAGCTCTTTCCAACACTTCATTATTTGTAAGAAATTAATTCCATTTATTAGTAAAATTCTTCTCAAACATTTCGTTTACCCTATTCACGCTATTAGACTCTTTAAATCATCCCAACAATCCTATTCTCTTTTCCCAGGTGGAGAAAGTTCTGGAAGGCAGCCCAGTGACCCGGGACTTCCGGCCCTTCCGTGTCCGCGTGGAGGTGGACGCTTCCGGGAAGGTCGTCACCGCACCCAGGACGGGATGATGACGTCATGCACAACGTCCAGGGAGAGGGGGGCAGGGGGGTAGGGGAGACTGGGAACTCAGGGAAGGTTGGGGTACTGGTGGTTTCAGAAGCATCTTGAGAGTCTAGAATGAATCGAGTTGGTTGAGAAATCGAGAAAGTACATGTGTTTCCAAAGAGTCGTGTAAAAACAAAATATTCCAGACTTTCGTATTCGTGGACATTACCTCTTGTGCTGTGCCGAAGTTTGTGTTGGCTGTTAGCTGGCGCAAGCTACGATGAAACTATTAAATCAAAAAGATAATCTCAATCTTCCGGCTGCATCTGTTGTATTTTGGGATTACTCAATATCTTTGGGTTAATAGCGAGTCATGAATCTCATTGTTTGCTTTGCGTAAAATCATACGTTGGATTTGAACAGCGGTCATCAGATAACATCCGTATACAAAAAAAAAAAAAGATGAAGAACAGAATAATAAATGCCAGTGTAGAATAACAACAACAATTTCAAGGACAGAATGACCTGAATGAAGTGTGAGATCTTTTAATAAATTGTTATGATGTACGCCGATGTAGGTAGATCTACTAAGCACAGCATAAAGTTTGTCTGTTTTAAGAGGAATATAGTCGAGTTCTGTTCTGGGGACATCAATAATACACACTAAATTTCTTCTACTGATTGTTCATGACATTACAACATGTTTCTGTTGTTTTATACCATGAGTTTTTCGTTCTTTTTTCCCTCTATGACCAATGTGTTATAGGTTCTGGTTCTCTTTTTCTTTGTTGAGGCAACGTATTTATGTTGCTGCATGTTTGATAATGATGCTTGCATCATCATCTCTAGCATCAAGTTAAAGTTCGAATCTGAAAAAAGGTGCTAGTTTGTCTCATCCCCTTACAGGGGACCCACAGATACATCTTTAAAAAGACCTACAATCTTCTGAGTAAGGCGTTATCATTCATAATCTTATGAATATAACTTTAAAAATGTTTAACCAGATTTTTTATGCCTGTCTCCAAACAATTTAGATGGTTTGGAGGTTTTTTTACGTTTTAAAAAAAATTCACCATGCCTGTCAAGGCTACAACATCACACCAGAAAGATCAAGGTACTCGATATCACTTCTCACCGTACGGGACTCGAAATAACCGCTACACAAGAGACGCTATTTCTACACCACAACCACTGAAAGCTCTTTCAGATGCACATGCTCTTCAGAGAAGGTGCAAGATTGATTTAACATTTATTATTGGCTGTGAGAGACACATGAAAACGTCACTGGGATTTGCTTTTTCTGACCAACGGGCGATGAGTGACCTTACATTGACATTTTCATCGGTGTCCGAAAGGTCACAGGTTACGTCGACGGAGTTAAGTTTGGGACATCATTAATGGCCGCGGCGTGACTCATTTGGGGATATGCAGAAGAGAATAGAAACATCTCTCCCACTTTTATGGACAAATCCCCGAAATAGTACGCTTTTTAACCTTTACAGCACTTTATGGGGCACTGTTATCTCAGTTGGTATCATGCTGGATTGTGATGCACTAGTCTGCTGGCTCTGTCGGTGAACTTAACATCAGCACATGGTCATGGTGGTCATGTGATTCGGAGACAGGCTATGATAATATTAGACAGATGAAGGGCTCAGGTGAAGCTAACGTTTCTTATCCACCTCAAAACCTAGACAAACTAGACTTAGTATTTACCGGCTATCCTTTAAGAATTAGAAAGGCAAATATTATCGTCTTTCAAAGAAAGGCTGTTAGGTAAAACAATCAGGAAGCGACAAACGCACTTTTTGGGTCACCTGAATAGGCATAAAGGTCTCGAACATCTAGCTTTCACTGGCAATATTGAAGGCAAACGAGGTAGGGGTAGGCCCAGAGCACCATACTTAGGGAACCTATACAATTGGTTAAGGTGGAAAGATCAGGAGAACGTAACTTTTTAAAGAGCAGCCGAGCAAAGGAATGAATGGAGAACCATGATCGCCGGTGTTCGTCGCAGATCTGGCACTGTATGATAATGATGATGTAAAACAAAATCAAGTCTTGTCTATCTCCGTAGCCTATCACAAGGTAAAAAATAGTCTTTACAGGCTCTCCCTTAAAAATTAGTTAAGTCGAATGATTTCGTCCTGCAAATATAGGAGATTAAGTCAGAAATAACCAACAGTCTCGTCTGTTTCCATAGCCTGACGGACTGTTACAGTGATCAGCGACCAAGAAGCAGAGCAAATGGCAAAACAGTGAAGAGCTATATTCAGGAGGACTCAGACAGCTTAATCCGAAGGAAATACAAACAAAACAAAAACAAAAACTGAATCTCATATTATTAAGAGCTGTTCTGTCTCTCTCTCTCTCTCTCCCTCTCTCTCTCTCTC